AATTGCATGTCATTGTTGGAGATAGTTCATAGAAATCATCATATCAAATAATGAGGAGATAATGCAGAGAAGATATGAAGAAGAGAATCCATTAAGTCAATATCTAAAATAATGGAAATTCAAACATTTATATTCTTTGATTTGGAAACAACTGGTTTGATTCAAGGAAAGATCATGCCAAGAATCACGGAAATTGCTTTAGTTGCTGTTACAAGAGAGTCGATATGTAATTGCAACAAAGCATCTTTGCCGCGAGTCTTGCATAAGCTAATACTTCCGATCAATCCCCAAAAAATCATACCACCAACTGTAGCATATATGACAAGTAAGTTGCTTTATTAGCTTAAATTGATTAATACATAAATAAAATTGAAGAGAATCTAAATTAAGAAAATTTTATAATATAATGATATAATAATCTCTCATAAATTTGTAGAATTATTTAACGAGGACATGTTGCTACTGCAGCCTTTTGAGTGTGAAGTTTATGAGTTAATAATGTGCTTTCTACAGCGTCTCACACCACCAATTTGTTTTGCAGCACATAACGGCAACAGATTCGATTATCCAATATTCTTGAATGAACTCGAGCGCATAAATAAGGTATAACCGATTTTTAAAGCTATTTATTTCTCTATTTATTCAATAATAATTAATTTTTTGCCATTAAAGGTTTTTGATGACAAAATTCTATGCATTGATACATGGAAGATGTTTCAAGATTTCTTTAAGAAAAAAGATTTGGAACGAAAGACAGTCCAAGATTTGTTGGATGATGAGTACAATGATTCGCTCTCCATGTTGGATATAGATATGGTAATGATGGAACAAAAGACTAAAATTGATGCCATGCCCATTTCGCAAGCGACGCCTCCCTATAACGGATATATCAAAGTTATAAACGATAAGAAATACGATACAAACAAGGAGTATAACAATGACATCGATGTCGAATCGCCGGAGGATTTTAGACAAAAAGCTAACGAAAAAACGCCAGAGAATCAAGTAATGAGGCAGCATGAGATTGTTCTTGTAGAAAGACCATTTAAAAAAAATAATCCAAGGAAGAAATTGGATTTTGGTTGCGAAAGACCAGTCAGCCTTAAACTCGGCGCCATTTATGAATATATGTTTGATTCAAATTTTCCTCACGAACATTCGGCCGAGGCCGATTGTCTCGCCATGATACGTTGCATCACCAATATTGTCGACTTCTTCCTTGAGTGGTCAGATAATAATGCAACTCCATTGGTTTGCTGTAAAAGAATATAGTGCAATATTGTTAATTGATATTTTAGACAATAAGAATGATACATAAACGAATGAAAAATGATACAGAATTATGCAGTACAAAGGGGATATATGTGATTATTATGAATTAAGATGCAAGGCTAGTATATGAAATTGGAAATAATGTTGTAAAAGCTTTCATCTCTCTATATATTAAATTATTAAATGCAAAACAGTATTCATAACTTGTAATATTAGTCTAAATGAGACTATTTGTGATAACAAAATATAATTCATTGATGATTCATTTCGTTTTTATATGATTTAAAAATTATATATACATATATAATTTTATAATTTATTGTAAGCTGCGCAAAGTTAATTATAATCTATTAGAGGATAATTGCACTTTGTATATGATAGCAGTCTACTTCAACAATGCATGTTGAATTGTTATTTATAGTTCTTTCGTTGCTTATTTATAATATACATTCTTGTATATTATAATTTATTCTTCTGTAACACTTATGGAAAAATTGGAAAAAGCTTTTTATTTCTGTGAAAGAATTGTGTAGGCTTTTTCTTTTTTATTATATATGAAAGAAATGCTTAAAATGAATTGTATTCATACTTTAATCTGAAAACAGTGTACAATCAGATATGGCATAAAATTGCTTCTAGTTTGACGTTGAAAAATATTAGAAGATGTGAATCTCTTTTTTTATAAATAATGATGTTAGATTCTATTCTTACCTCTTCCTTGAATTTAGAAAAAGGAAAGAAGAGAATAAAAATGAATTCATTTTATGAAAATGCAGTTGTTTTAAAGAAATCGAGCTATAAGCTTGTTTTAATTGTTCATGTCTACGTTTAAAGTAAATTAGTACTTTCAATTAATTATACATGTTTCGTTTTAAAGTACTTTTAAAAACTATTTTAATTAGTGATAAGACTATTAATCTTCTTATCAGTTGTATTAACAAAATCAATTTCTTTAGGTACTTAACTTTTTATATATATTCGTGACAGCAGAACTTATATTTTTATTTTTATGAAATAAATGTAATACAGAATGTTAAAATGAAATATATAGTCATATATTTTATACTCTAAGACTGAATAAATTGGCGATTAAGATAGCATTTTGTATATTGTATATATTTTTAATGTCATTTCTTGAAAACGCAAATGAAAATGAAATAATTATTTCTAAATTAGCCAAAAGATTATAATTGGACGAAATACTTTTTGCAGAAAACTTTATAATTAGACGGAATATTTTTCATAGAATGTTATTCGTTATGTGCGTGTGATTTAATAAAATAAAAAAATCTTAAATGAAAAAATAAATTGAAAATAAGAGAATCACATCTTGATATTATTAATAACGGATTAGATAGATAGATAAATAATTTATTCTAATTCCTTGGAATTACAGAACGGACTTGGTTGGACTTGCTTTACAAAAAAAGGCCTTATCCACACACATGCCCTCGCCCTGCCGAAGCTAATGATTAGTCCTCTATCCTATATGAGATTGATTTTCTCTTTTGTTTTTCCACCTCTTTCCTCTTACCCTTTCACTCCCTTAACCACCTATTGCCCTGTTCCGTCTCCTTTTCGCCCAGTATATCCTCTATCTCTACCATACTGCTACTCTTCCACGAGCACCGCTCTAACAAATGCTCAAACGTGTCTTCTTCCCATCTACATATATCACATTTCCTATCCTCTTCTTGCAGCCAGAATCTATTTTTCCTCTCTTCATTGCCACACCTGGCCCTCGCTCTTCTTTTATGACTTCCTCTTTCTCCCCTCCCTTTCAAATATTCTAGAAGTTCTTCAACCCTAATCCCCTTGTATCGCGTGTTATATCTGGCTTCATCTATTAGTAATTCCTGCTCTTCTATTTGTACATCTCTATCTCTTCTACTTAGTTCTTCTGCTATAATCCTCCCCTGCCTCCTCCATTGCTCGAGTTCTTCTTCTCCTACCCCACATCTCCTCAAATATTCATCTCTTTCCAACGTTCCTTTCGTTATGTTTCTTCTCTCTTCTCTCTCCTTAATGCATTCCTCCACCCATTTCCTTTGCCCCTGCCTTGTTTTTGCTTTTTCTTCAAACTTCATCGCTAACTTTGCTGTTCTTATTCTCATATAAAATGAGAATATATCTCTTTTTGTTTCCTTCCTGACCACGTAATTTGGCGTGCATTTATCCAAACCTAGTGATCACTTAAGATAGCATGTCTCCACTCCTTCTACACTGAGTTGTTCTTGCCATTCCCACACTTCTGCTCCATATACCATTACACTACCTACCAGGCTATCAAACATCATCATCCCCCTTTCCCAGTTGTTTGCAAATTTTCTTTCCCCTATACTCCACGTCTTTCTCATTACGATCATTGCTCTCCTTACTCTTTCTCGTCCGCATAGGCTAACGTCCAAATTCTTCCCTGACCGATCCTCATACCACCGACAAGTCCTCTAGCCATTTCCTCTTCCAAGTCAGAGATAAATATCAAGAAGAGCAACGGATTCAGGGGACAACTCTGTCTTACTCCCTTTGTCGTCCAAAAGGGACTTGACTCTCTGTCTTCTACTTTGATTTTATTACGTGTTTCCTGATAAACTTGCTTGACCCTTTCCGTTAAACCCTTCCTTATCCCTCTTTTCTCCATAACCTTCCAAAGCACTCTCCTATCAACCCGATCAAACGCTGTCTTTAGATCCACAAAAAAGGCATTCATCTTTTCTCCTATTCCATTCAACTCTCTATCGACTAAATGGTTCAGAATGACAATATTATCTGTCGTACCTCTTCCTTTCCGGAACCCAGCTTGGGTTTCCGGTAAAATCCGTTTGCCCTCCACCTCCTTCGATAATCTTTCCGCTAACACAGCTGCGTAAATCTTGTATGCTGCGCTCAGTAGGGTAATTTCCCTGTAATTCGTAGCGGGTATCCCCCTTCTTATATAGCGGAGAAATTATACCATCCTTTCAGGACTCCGGCCATCCTTCGCTTCTCCAAACATCTTTAATCACATCCTTCAATCCTTCTCTAATCTGACCCTTACACGATTTCCATGCTTCGTTCCTTATTCCGTCTTGACCCGCAGCCTTCTTACATTTTAATCTTCTTATTTGTCTTTCAATCTCTTCATCCGTAAGATCTTCCTCTTCGTCTCCCCCTTTCCTTTCTTCTCCCAAACTTTTTTTTTCTACCCCCTCTAGTACCCCCATAAAAAGGAGTCTCCAGTTTTCCATGGTAATATCCTCACATACTTTTTTCCGAACTTTTCTCTCCCTGTTAATAAACTTCCAAGCGTCTGTCTTCGTTCTAATCCTATTTATCTCTTTCATTTTTTTCCTATTCAACTTTTCCCTCTTTTTCTCGCAGAGTTCTTTTAGTTCTCTCTTATTCTTATCCACCGCTTCCTTACTTTCCTTTCCTTGTCTCCATCTTTTCAGATTTCTTTCTGCTTTTCTCTTTTTCCTGGTACACTCTCTGTCCCACCATTTCTTATACCCCAATTTTCTTTTTCTCCATTTAATTTTCTTCATTATCACTGCCACTTCTACTTTTACCCTCAGTTCTTCCCATTTCTCCTGTACGCTCTCCTCTGTCAGGTTTATCCCCTTTGTTTTATCCGCGAAGCTCCTTGTACTTACTTCGTCCCAACACTGTATTATTCTCTCTACCTCACTTTTATCTTCTATTATTACTTATCCCTTTAGCTCTTCTTTTGTTAAGCATACACTAGTCAAAGGCAAGTGATCGGAGTCTATCCTATTCCTCACGTTAAACTCTTCTAGCAGATCCCATCCCTCTATGTTTACCAGCAAATAGTCTATAACCGATGAACCTCTTATCCCTACATATGTGAATTCTTCTTCCTCGTCCCCACGCTTCACTCCGTTAGCCATATACCATCCCCCCTCCTCCACAAATTCCAACAGCCTCTCTCCCTCTCTATTAACCTTTTTATCTTTTGATCTTCTCTCTTCTATCACCCCGTCTTTGTACACCCCTCCTTCTTTTCCAGTCCAAACATTTAAATCTCCTCCGATTATCAGTACTTCTTCTGGCTGCCGTTGTTCCGGGTTAATTATATCGTCTTTAAATTCTTCTAAGCCATCCTTAACATATACTGCGTTGATTGTCCATTTATGGCCACCTCCATATCCTTTCCACTTGACCCATCCTTTTCTATTACAGTCTACCTCCTGGGTCATCAAGACTCCTTTCCTAACCCCTACCAATATACCCCCCCCCATCCCACTGCCCCTACCTCTACTCTGTTCTCTAACCGCATATTGCATGTGCCAAACAAATTCTAATGGTAAGTTTTTTTTCCAGTCCTCTTTTTCATCCTCCGTTATCCATGTCTCCATTAATTCTACGTAGTCCTGATGCCTTATAAATTCCCAAAAGTCTACTCCTTTCCCCTTTAGCCCCGCCACGTTCCAGAAACTTATTCTAATTTTACCCCCTACTTTACCGATCGCTGAGTTTCCCACTCTCAACTGAGTTCCTCTGTGTTTTTTCTTCTTGTCTTCTTCCATCCTCACTCCGAAATTTTTCCTCCGTCTGCGCCAATAACACCACGTGTTCTCTTTTTTCAATCTGCCTCCAACTAAACCATCTGTTCACCAAATAAACCCTGTTAAATCTAACCTTCGTATGCTCTCCCCATCCTCTAACTACTCTCGCAATTCCTCTTAGTCGCCATTGTCTTTCCTCCTCCTCTTTTGATAAAATCTCATCTATAAAGATCGGATGATCTTCTCCTAATTCTTTTTTTCTTCTTACTACCTCTATCTTTGCACTAACATCTACCATTTGAACTCCTAGCTTTCGATTTCTTGCTCCCCCTTCGCACCAAGCACCAACCATTTTATTCCCTAGGTTGAACCTATCTTGCAGAAAATCCTTTGCTTTTTGCATTGGTTTCCTGCCGTCCCATTTCAAACCGCGGATCATCAAACATTTCCTTCTTTCTCGTTTCTCATTTTCTTGCTTCCATTCTAACAATTCCTGTACTTTTACCTTTAATGCTTTATCCATCTTCTCATTCTCATCTTTCCTTCCTCCCCTCGCCATTGTATCCTCACCTTGTGACGTCGCTCCTCCTTTCTCGTTCTCCAACCTCTCCAGATCTTCCAGCCCCGTCTCTGCTCTCTCCAGTTTGATAATCTTCTCCCATAGTGCCTTCCACTCCCCCTCCCACACCTTTTCTTTCCTTTTCATCTCATCTCTCATCTCTTCTCTTATCTTCTTCAATTTCTTCTCCGATTCTTCTATCTCATTTGCTCTTTCGTTTTTCAATTTGGCCACTTCGCTTTCTACTCTCTTTAGCCTCTCCAGGATAACACTCTCTTGCCTCCCGAGTCTATCTGTCCATTCTTCTTCCCTGCCGGTTATCGACCCTATATTAGAATCACTCTCAATTGGGTCGTCACCAGTCATCTCTGTTTTAATAACGGATTATTCTGTGTATATATATACATTTATATACGGGGTATTAGAAAAGTCTGGAAAGAGTCAAATATCTCGAAAACGAAACTTTTCTAAGAAAAATGTTTCGAACCAAAGTTGTAGGGTTTTAAAAGTTCTATTCAATGATCATATCCGTTTGACCTTGAGTGGAGGCGTCAAGGCGAGGTCAAGGCCAACATGATTTTTTTAAATGGAACCCCCCACTTTTTATTGCACATTCCTGTAGCTTATCTCGAGAGCTTTTCAAAACACTATAATAAAGTATTTTTTCATTAAGTACTTTTATATGTGTGGCTCTATGTATATACTTATATTTCGTTAAAAAATAAATACTCACAGATATATCTTGCTATTGCATATTTATCATTTGCGATAGTTTTCTCGATAGTTTGTATAATGTGATTTATTCTTCCTGTCATACTTCTCATTTCATCACGCCCAACATGTTCCAACAAATTAAGATCTTCGTCCCAATAGTATCTTATGCTACTTTCGCGAAAAGCTTCGCGAAGCTTTTGTAACATCTACAAATGTATTATTATTTTATAACTAATTTAACAAAGGAAAAATTTTGAATTTTAGCAATAAATTACCGTAAAGAACAAAGAAGTAAATGATTGTCTGTTCGAAATCCGAAAAATATCCAATTCGTTCAAACATAATGTTTCGATATAATAGCTTGCGATGTTCCACTTTTGTGTATCTCTTAGTTTCTGAGAGAATGCAATTAATAATCATATAAAAAAATTAATTTGAAATATAATTGCAAAAAAATATAAAAAAAGAATATTTTTGAATTAATTTACAATCTAGAATTTGTTATCCTTTTCTCTATGAAAGGAGCTATAGAGTTTCTATGTAAAATTTTTAAGTATATAAAAAATTTTGATAAAGTAAAAAAATTAAATCTTAATAAATTTGCTAATGATGTAAAAATAGACCAATCAATTAAAATATTATTTGAGGAAAGTTAAAGAAAGAGAAATTATTTTGATAAATAATTTAGATTTATATATGTATCATGATTCCAAAAATATATATATCATATTATACAATATAAAAATAATTATATAT